TGACAATCATGTGGGATGAACAGGTGGAAAAGGCCTTTGTCCTCTGACTATTAGAAGGAATTCTTAAAATTGTTCTGATGATATATATGTAGGATAGAAATATTAATGCCAGAGTGAACATTAAAGTAAACACAGCACAGGAAAACCCCATTATCTCTAGGAATTTTGTGTCTGAACAAGAAAGTTGCAGCAGGGGAAAATAATCACAGGTAAAATGGTCAATAATATTAGACCTACAGTAATTAAGGTTTAAGAGCAACATGAGTGCAGGGAATACAATTAAGAATGAAATCAGCCATGAGGAGAAGACAAGGAGTATGCAGACTCTGGGGTTCATGATGGTCATGTAATGCAGAGGTTTGCAGATGGCAATATAACGGTCATAGGACATGGCAGCCAGAAGGTAAAATTCAGTGACTCCCAACAGAATGAAAAAAAAGAACTGAGCAATGCAATCATTAAAGGAAATGGTTTCATCTCCTGTAATCAGAGTGCTTAGGAACTTGGGTATGCTAACAGTGGTGGATGAAACCTCTAATAAGGAGAAGTTTCTGAGGAAGAAATACATGGGTGTCTGGAGGTGAGCATCCAGCAGGGTAAGGGTGATAATGGTCAGGTTCCCAGTGATGCTGAGCATGTAGGTGATGAACAGAAAGACGAAGATCACTCCCTGAAGCTGCGGGTCATCTGACAATCCCAGGAGGATGAACTCTGTTAGTTCTGTGTAGTTTCTCATTCTCCAGTTGCTTATTTGTTGTTCTCCTGCCAGACTTCTAGGAGAAAACACAAGGAAGAAACTCGAAGAGAGGATTAGCAGAGGTCCAAGTTTGGAGACAGAATTTGGCAAAAAACCTATATGCTTTCATCTACAGGGGAGATTTTATGAATCTTTGACTGATTCTTCCTAACCCACAAACATCTGTGCTGAAATCTCCTGTGAACTCCCCCACTATGCTGTGCATGCCTGAAAGTTAGGAAGAGTCTGACCTTCAAAGCCTTTCGAACACAGTCCAGTGCCTGGAAGTCACAGGGAGCTTAAAATAAGCACTTGTCTACTTAATTTACTCATTCATTCTGAGTTTGTTCTTGCATCACAAACACCCATCAGGTGAAGTTCTCTAATGTATGCCCAATTCCTGGCTGCATATTACATAGGTTGTGTCTTTGTTTTACAAGATGTTTTCCCCTTTCTTTTATAAGAAAGGACATGTAGAAGAAACCCCAACTTTTGATATATAATTAAAAAAAATTCATTAAACATTATTTCAAAATAGGTTTCATTAAATTTTTTTAGAATGCGTTCTTTTAATTAACTTTACTCCTGTTCAGTAACAATAATCTTCCTTCATCAGGGTTAGCTTTTCCTAGGAAGCACTAGTTTCTCATAACACCTGGGAGCCTCCATATGCATTCTCATCAAATAGGCAATATTTGGTTTCATTTGAATTGAATTTCAATTCAATCCCCAAATTGAAATTTCTGCACTAAATTTACTGGCTTTGGAGATACTGTTTTAAAAAGGCATATTATTACTCTTCCATAGGTAATAATGTGTCAATGCACTGCATTTTTAACCTTATTTCAAGTTTTTTTGCATATTCTTTATTTTCTTAACTTTCCTACCAATTTTAACATTTTCTGAAAAAGAATAACTTGACTGAATTACACATTTTGGCTATTGATGAAACATTTGAGGGAATGTATGAAGAGCTGTGAAAGAAGGTATTAATATATACAGAAACGTTTATGTGAGCATTAATGAAAAGGAGTACTTAAAGGCCAGTTTTCTAGGATCAGTGAATATAGGCTTAAAACAACTCTACCAAGAGATGATCCAATATCACAGACCTGGGGGAAGCATACTATACTACTATGTAAAAATATTAATGAAAATCAATGGACTATATTCATTTACCATCACCTAATGTTTACCAACATTACCAACACGGATGTTATTCATTCATTCATTCATTTATTTGTTCATTAATTCAGCAGGCTGTGGGGAGAAAAAAACCTCAATGTTTAACAAGGTGCATATGATTCCTCAAGCCTGAAGCCACACCAAGGATGTACTCATGCAGAGTATGAAGGATATCTCTAAGAATTTAGCCAATCTTTTTATTTCTGAACACAGATCCATATTTCCCCTGGAAGAACATGGGTTAGGTTCAACAAATTATTTTCCCCCGATTTGGTTAAAATCAAGAACCCCTTTGGCATACTTTTTGAGCTATTCAATATGAAAGTTAGCAATAATACTTCATATTTGTTAAGTAAGATGGCCACAAAGTACCTTCAAGTTTCATTCTGAAAATATCACTGTTCCATTCTGTATTTAGTCATCAATAATCAAATAAAAAAGGAAAAATACATAAACTCATAACAAGATCATGGTATAAAAATCCTATTAATTTCTTACTTGGGATACTCTAAGGTAAATTGTTATTACAGAAAATTTATGGGCTCTGCAGTTAGAGAAACATGGGCTAAAAATTCAAATGGGCTGTTTAATGGATTTGTGACTTTAGATGGTACTTAATTTCCCTAAGCATCTGTTTTCTCGGTTTACCATGGATGTAAAATTTCAAGGGCATTTTGGGAATTAATTGAAATAATATAAACGAAAGTGCTGTATAAACCATGTGGCACTAAATATGCTTTAAGAAGAGCTGGTTTATTTATCTTCTTTTAGTTGGAATTGTTTTCCAACTTTGGACAGAATATTCATAGTAACTGTGATTGTACAAAGGCATTATTTATTCAAATGAAATATTAAGGACTTTTATATTCTATCTCACTAACTTTTATGACACCCTGATAGAACTTTATCTTTGTTCCCAAATGAAGCACTAGGGTACTGTGGTTTTGTACCTTAGATATATTTGTGTAGCTAACAAGTGTTCAATATATCAGAGACTACCTAAAATTAAAGTCTGTTCTCTTAAAGAAAGTATTACATAACCTATATTCCATTAGAAACACAGCCACAGAGATGATAATTTCTTGCTTTTATTTGAGAATGAATAAATTATATAATAAAGACAAATATACTAACATCCTTTTACATTTTAAAAAATAAATCCAGTTGAAAAATGAAATTACAATATATCCTATTTAATCTGACTTAAAGTTGAGCTGATAAGTAATGAAGCAATGACACAGTTTGGGAGACTCCATTGCCTTCTATATGTCCGACTTACCTCTGATTTCATACAGGCTCACTAACATGCAGAATGGCCAGAACATAAAAAATACTAGCAGTTGCCATTGTTGCAATCCAGGGAAACCAGCATTCCTGACCACATTTCCTGTTAGTGTACCTCTTTGCTTTCTATTGTTAATGTTTTTGTCCTAAGTTTCCTCTTATTTCTTGAGTATAGAGAGTGAGAGAGGAGCAGCTGTATGAAAGAGAAAAAAACATCAGAAAGTATTTTAAAACTGTCTGATGTGGTTTCTACACAGATCTTATGTAGCATGAGTTAGGTAATGTTTTATCTGTTATCTCTGCGGATGCTCACAGTGAATAATTCAGTGAATCAAAATTGCCAGAACAGGACTTCACACAAAACACTAAGAAATATAAAACATAATACACATTAGAATTGAGATTTGACAAAGAAGCTTGGGGGAGAGTGTCCAATGAGACAGAAAAAATAACAATGAACAAACAACCATTCTAAATGTGATCTGTTTCTCTTGAGAAACAAACATACTGACAGAAATTATTTTTCAGACAGAGATTACCAAAAATGTATCTCAATTCATACTTCAGAGTTCTACCAAAAGTGCCTTTACAGCATGACATTTTTAAAAACTGGTAATCTACCACATTGTACTAAGTCTTTCATTGCCTCTATTAACTTATTTTTTAAAATATTTTATTTATTTGACAGACAGAGATCACAAGTAGGCAGAGAGGCAGGCAGAGAGAGAGAGAGAGAGGAGGAAGCAGGCTCCCTGCTGAACAGAGAGCCTGATGCAGGGCTAGATCCCAGGACCCTTGGATCATGACCTGAGCCAAAGGCAGAGCCTTAACCCACTGAGCCACCCAGGCACCCCACCTCTATTAACTTTAATCTGCCTTCCAAGAAGAATTTTTGCTACTCTAATACTGCTAGTGCTTTATACTTTTTTTCCTTCTCACTCTGTTGTTCACCAGCAATGTCAGTTGAGGAGGTTCTTGTTTTGATTGGTTAATGTTCCAGTGTATATTGGCACCTTGACCAGACCATGATAATATAATCATCCCCAAATGATATGATGTGAGTGTAAAACACAAATAAAGTTGTGCCTGTTTTTAGTAAAAGCTAAGCAATATATGCAGGTCCATAAGAGTTTGGAAAATGTAAAATAGAACAAGTATAAGTTTTTAGTCATTTTATTTTGTTTCATTTTCAAATCAGGTTATTATATTGGCTGTTATAGCCCAAGACCTCAGGCAAAAAACAACCTCTCAATTTACACATTTGTGAAAAAGAGATAATCACTCTAATTTGCCATATAGATTTGAAAACTAAATATGGTATGATTGAGGACATATCTGGTTGAGTATATGGCATAGAATAAATGCTCTCTACAAAAGAGATATTATTATTTGTGAAAATCCTATTAGACTTCCAGGTGGCATGATTGTAATGGTGACTGCCTAAATACTCATTTATCTCATAGTTTTAAATATAATACAGATAAACAAGGAGAATATATAAAATAAGACATAACATATACCTTAAGCATAACTACAAAATAGAAGAATATGACCTTCAAATAATTTATAAGCAGTAAAGTAAACATTCAAGCCTAAACCTGAAGGGAGGAATTGGACAAACACTGCAGATATTATGTAAAAAAATATAGTTGTTGCAGATAATATATTTCATTTTTTATAACTTTAAGAAAGAAACTGCAATATCAGTAACAAAATAACATGTTAGAGTAAGTTGATTAAACTGTTTATTCCTTTAGCTATTACCATATACAATATTTGTATTATTCATAGCAATCAGCAAAATTAGGTATGTTTTTAGCCACTGCCTTTCTGTACAGAATTGTAACTAAATAAGGAAATGGAACCTACAGAGGGTTTGAAAGAAAGACATAACATAGCTACTTTTGGTTTAAAAGAAAAATTAAAGTGCTTTGCCTTGCAAGTATCTGTGAGATGGATATTGGAGGATACTATAGAAGTTGAAATTTTATTTGTCCATTATTGGATCTTTACAATGACATCTATTCATGTTAATACATATTTTCATTTTTTTCCAGAAAGCAGTACTTTATGAAGCAAGTTTCTGAAAGCTTGTTTTACTTGCTAATTCCTCAGGGTATAAATAGAAGGGTTCAACATGGGAGCAATTGAGGTGTTGAGAATAGCTACTCCTTTCGTCAGTGATGTTCTTTCTCTTGCTGAAGGCTTGACATACATGAATATATAGCTCCCATAAGAGATGAAAATGACAATCAAGTGAGAGGAGCACATGGAGAAAGCCTTTTCCTCTGACTAGCAGATGGGATTCTCAGGATGGTGTTAAGGATGCACAGGTAGGAGAGAATCACTAATGCCAAGGTGAAGAGCAGAGTGACAAAAGCAAAGTAAAAGCCAGTCATCTCCAAAAGCCATGTATCTGAGCACGAGAGTTGTAAGATGGGGAAAGAGTCACAAGAGAAATGATCAATTACATTGGAAGCAACAGAAATCTAGCTGGAGGATGAGCATGAATGGTGGGAAAATGGTAAGAA